CCAAAATTACTCTTAGTTCCAAAATATTTTTCTAAATTGATTTTCAAACTCACTTGTATTTTAACTCTTTGGTATAGAGTGTAAGTTACTATATTACACCGTAACTTTTATAGTTTTCTCTAAGTTGTTATGTATGCAGTGTATAGTTTTAATCAAATGCTTATACTATTTGTTTGGCTTTTTTCAAGCTAATGTCATGGTATCATGGACATATTTTTAATATATAAACCTAAAGTTTTATCCCTATTTAATTTTATAACCATCCACCTCCAAAAAAAAATTATCCATAAACCAAAAGCTTTACACCCATTTAATTTTTAATCCACTCGCTTTTAAAATTAATCTTAAACACAAAATACCAAACAAAGTTATTTTTAACTCACTTTATATTTCAACAACTCGATATATGGTGTAAATTATTATTTCTTGTTATTGCTTGCTATAGTTTTTCTTAAATGCTAGATATATATGGCGTGTTTTAAAACCAAGTACTTTTAGTTGTTTTCATGCAAATATCACGACATTGCGTGGGTCAATTTTGATCAATATACAAAAACCAATTTGAAATTTATGTCGAAGATATGTGACTTGTATCTTAACTAGACCTTGTTAGAATATAAAATACGAATCTCAATTCTTACCATAACTTTGGAGTTTTGGTGCAATGTTTAAGGACTTTCACGTGGTTTCAGAGCAATCCAGGTTTAAATCTGAATAACCCCAAATTTAATGCAAATTTTATAAAAACTAGTTTAATGCATGTGCTTTGCACGTGGACATGTTGTTGTATTTAATATGATATTGTTTAATAAATTATATATAAACCTTATACAAAGTTATTTAATTGCGCTATGATTAAAAACATTTAAGTTATACTATAATTAAAACTTATACTATTATTAACATATATTTAATATTTATTTAAATTAGCTTATTATTATATTATTAAATAATTTATTTAGGAATATAATTATTAAATAATAATGTAATCATAAGTTTAAGTAACACTATTGATATAATTAAACCATTTATATTATTAAATAGTTATGCTATGGACATATATTATTACAATATTACTTAAATAATGGTAGTAAGTTTAATATTATATGACTTTATATTGTAAAGAATATTACATTGCTCGATAATTAATATCATTTTAGTAATAAAAAATTGGATTGTATAAATTAAGAATACTATTATTTAGGAAAAGTACTTTATATAAAAATATTGTATCCTTGAAAGTTATGAGACATTTACTTTCCAACAAAAAGTGAATGACTCATAGATTTTAAAATTTTGATATTTTTATATAAAGTAACTTTTCTAAATAAAAATATTTTTAATTCATAATGTCCAATTTTTATTACAAAGATGATATTATAATATCGAAAAGGGTGATATCCCTTACAATGTAAAGAATCGACCCCTATTTATACTATTATTAATAACTATAATTATGTACAATATTTTATTAAATAAATAATTTTACTATTTTATTACAATTGATAATTCTTTTATAATGAATTATAATATATTTATTAACTTTATTATCATTATGAATTATTAATATGTTCTAGCGAGTGACCAAATATTTTGGGAAAAAGAAGAGAAAAGTATATGTCTCATAAATCTCATGGATCTAAATATTTTGGGAAAAATGTGTACAGGCCCCAAAAGCAGAAACTTCATGTGACGAGGCCCCTCATAGTTTTCCCCATGTGAATCAACCCCTTGATGTGTGACACTTTGTACTGTAGCTCTTTTTTATCAATTATTACATGCCAGCAAAGCTAAAATCCCCAAATTATCCTTATCATCTCTCCTCAATCTCTCAGACCCAGCAATTATATCATCTTTCTCTCTCATCTTCTCTCTCTCTCTCTAAAACTAAGAGTTTTCTCAAGCTCGTCAACCTGGCCCTCGCCCTCCTCGCCGTTGCCGCCTCCGCTCAGGCCCCCAATGCTCCCCTCGAGTTCGTCGCTGCCTCCCCTCCCCTCACCCGTCCTCGTCGCCGTAGATCGCCGCCGCTCTCCCGCCATAGATCGTCGTCGTCGAGACGCACAGAGCATTAATCCATTAGCTAGAAGAAGAAAGGAAAAAATGTTTGACCAGCTACAAATAAATGAACGATTTAATTTTATAAAATAGTCAAAAGTTGTCCCCATTTTTCCACTTTCACGAGACATCCATGCCTTTTTGGAGGAAGCTGAATTTACAATAAACCTAATGTGCGCAGTTTTTTTGTATTTTAATTTCGAACAAATTTTTAAAATAGACAATTTTTAAAACTTAATTAGCAAAATAGGCTGAAAAAATATTTAATTACCAAAAATCGTTGTAAGCTGGGACGGTAGTTATAAATCGTTGTTATAAATGAGGATACAATCATGTTTTTATAAATCATTGTTAATTATATTTAATAATAGTTATACCTAATGATATGTTATTTCTAGATGCTATCGTGTTAGTTCTAGTAGCCCTCGAGTTAGTTCTAGCTTCTATTACCCTAGTTCTACCTTGTATACAGCCAGTTCTAGCCCACACCATGCTAGTTCTAAACCAAGCCCGCGTTTTTGACAAGCAAACTTGTTAATTCTAGCTTCTACGTTAGTTCTAGCTTCTATTACCCTAGTTCTAGTTTGTATATAGCCGGTTCTAGCCCACAGCTTGCTAGTTCTAAACCCAACAAGGTAATATCATTTACGACATAAAGAAGTAACCCCTATTTATACTATTATTAATAATTATAATTATGTGAACTAATTTATTAAATAAATGACTTTTACTATTTTATATCATTAATAATTATTTATAATAAATTATCATATATTTACGGATTTTGTTATCATTATAAATTATTAATATATTCTAGTGAATGACCAAATAATTTGAGAAAATGAAGAGGTGCATAGTTAATGAGAGGTTGTGGATCATTAGTTTTATAAATAAATGATATAATTAGCAAGGAAAATTAAAAGTTTTGACATGAGTATTCTCTTTTATAAGTAGTATACTAATTGGCATTCAGAGATGGCTTTTGTACTCGGGATTCGGACATCCAATCATGACAACAAGCGGAGATAATCCAAATCTTTTTGTGCGATGAAAACGAAGAATTTGAATTGGAGCAAAACTTTTAACTTTTGCGTACGGTCTATTTCAATCATCAGGCTAGGGTTCAGACGTGCAAATATGGGCCACATGCAATTCACCAGAGAAGGAAAACTTACTGGCGTGGCTAGAGAGTAGAAGCAAATGTAAATCAAGCCTCAGGCCCACTTTGGTTATTTTGCCCATTGAATCCAGTCGGTGAGTGAGCCTTCCCTTGTTTTGGGGAAGAAAATGGAGTGTTTCGTTAGAGGTTGGCAAAGCTCATTCAAGTTTTCGGCAAGGACAGCTCTGAGGTCGGCAGGGGTTTGAACCCAAACAAATATGCAACTTTTAGTGCTGTCTTTAAAAAAAAAAAACTTATAATGACTGTTTGCACATAGATCTCGCTCCTTGCCGACATGTTGTGTCACTTATAACCTTTTAAGTTAAATATTAGATGAATAATCTCTTATAGCTGAGCTAACCGCCTGTTGCCCTCCGCGGTTCCTCTTTGTTATGGTATGCTATTTTTAGGAAAAAAATTTGTAGGATAGATGATGTGGATAGTAAAGAAGGGAGGGAGGGTCTGAAAATATAGACATTCTATTTGTCACAAATCTCTAATGATGCTCAGTTTTAAATACGGTTTGCCTGACATAAACTACTTAATGGGTAATAATTGATGCAATGTGGTAGTGCGGAGAGTTTATGAGCAATTAGCCCTAAATCTAAAGAGTAGTATTATATTGCAAAACGAGAAGGGGGAAAAAAATCTCATAGAAGTCCTCTGTAAAAAAAAATCATGACTAATATGTCTCACCGTCAATCCTAAATTATTATAATTAGTATACAATGTCAATATAATAAATATCAATCAAACCACAGCACCATTATACTTGTTATTACATCAAAGTAATCACCAACGCTAATCTTCTTTATATATATTTTAAATTCCTATTTCATCTTCGTTAGAGGGCCATGTATAAGACTTTCTTTCCCTTCTAGATTGTGGATACTACTCATCATGAGCCAAGAGACTTGGTTGGATTTTGTATGCTTTGGCAGTTTGGCCTAGAGATTGTATCGAAGGGATTGGATAAGTAAACAAGCTCAAGTTGTTGATTTGTTGCCTATAAAAGAATAACCAACTACATTAAATCTACACATTCACAAAGAAGGGGAAACCCCCGTTTCTCTCTCTCTCTCTCTCTCTCTCTCTCTCTCTCTCTCTCTCTCTCTCTCTCCATTTTTCTTTATTTTTTAATTTTTTAAAGGGGACCACATACATGAGATAAAATGTGAAACGTTATAATTGGAATTTAAGAAAAAACTTAGGAGGCCCACTTATGAAAGTAAAGTATTGTATTTTAGAAATTGGGTTTAAAGACAAATATAAAAAGTGAATTGGATTTAAAGATACAAGTAATAATAATGATTGAGTTTATAGGTGTAAAATTGAGTAAACAGATAAGCCTAGAAATAAAACTCCCCAACTTAAAAGGTTCTGTGGTTAAGCCAATTTCATTACAGCCCGGCCCATTGTTTGACAAACTTGGGCCATGGGAATTTCTTAATGGGCCTTATTAAGGTAATCAGGAGAAGCGTTTCTCTGGGATTGGGATCCTCTACTAATGAATCCTCTACTAATATTTTCTAATAAAGAGATCTTGGCCTTTGATTTGTCAATCAAAGGCCAAGATCTACTCATGAGCAAAAGTAGGGGGACCCCTTACTTTTGCTCATGATGAGATCTTGGTCTTTGATTGATAAATCAAAGGCCAAGATTGTATTAGGAGATATTAGAAAGGGTCCTCATTAGTAGAGGATCTCAATCCGTTTCTCTGGGCCCCACGACAACAAAATCTATAAAAATCCCTCCCCGTTTAAATTCTTTTCCCGATTCAGGGATTCTCCCAAAACCTCCCTCTATTCGTCTCCAAAACCCCTCTAGGGTCTCAACAATCAAAATCTCTAGGGTTTCTACTGCGGCCTCTATCGATCAGCGATGTCTCTGCGTGCAAGCGAGAGAACGGAGGTCCGCCGGAATCGGTACAAGTTCGCCGTCGACGCCGACGAGGGCCGCCGGCGACGAGAGGACAACATGGTGGAGATTCGAAAGAGCAAGCGAGAGGAGAATCTGATGAAGAAGCGGAGAGAGGGAATGCAATCGCAAGCGTTCTCTCAGGTCTCGGCGATCGAGAAGAAGGTAATCGGTGGGTTTGTTTGTTTGTTTGGGTCTTGGATTTGTGATTTTAGGTTTTTTGAGGTGTTATTGGGGTTATTTGATGATTTCTTTGGCTATGCGTTCAGTTGGAGAGCTTGGCGGTGATGATGGCGGGAGTTTATTCGGAGGATCCGAAGGTGCAGCTCGAGGCGACGACTCAGTTCAGACAATTGCTGTCGATAGGTACGGCATTTGTTGAAATTTGATCTTCTTGAATTTGTTTGTTTAGCTATTGATTGGTTATTATTGTTATTTTTTATTTCTAGTTTATGCATTGAACTGATTAATCATGATTGTTATTTGGCCTTGAGTTAAGTATAAATATTGGAATGAAGTGATAATAAGTTTCTGTCCATAGGGGTTAGTTCATATTCGTTGATTGGGTTATTGATGAATTTACTATAAACATTACTTTAATGAGGAATTCATTTATAAATTGCCATTTGTTCATATTCATCCATTGGTTGGATTGTTGATGAATTTACATTACTTTCATGAGGAATTGATTTATGTCGTACTATTAGTTCATATTCGTTTGTTGATTGGATTGTTGATGAAATAGCTATGTATGTTGCTTCCATGAGGAATTAAGTTATTTCTTAGTATCAAGTTCATATTCATTCATTGGTCGGACTATTGATGAATCATTGTATACATTACAATTAAGAGGAATTAATTTATGCCTTACGTAGAGAAGTTCTTGCCAATATTTTGATGTGCTGTTCATTGGCTACTAGACCAGGGAATATCAGTGGTGTTTTGTTGAGCTTGAGCTTATACTTTTAATGTGGATTTTGAAAGATAGTTGAAGTTGTTGATATTTGTTTGTGTTTGGATTTTTTTCCTTTTACCAGAAAGAAGCCCACCAATAGAGGAGGTCATCCAGTCTGGTGCTGTTCCTCGTTTCGTTGAGTTTCTTATTAGGGAGGAATTCCCCCAACTTCAGGTCTTGTTGGTTTTATATTTGTGAATTTTGTCCTCATAAGTTTTGTTTCTTTTAAACTAGATCTTAATGTTTGTTCAGTTCGAAGCTGCTTGGGCACTTACAAACATAGCCTCTGGTACATCAGAGGACACCCAAGTCGTGATTGATCTTGGGGCTGTTCCAATATTCATAAAGCTGCTTGGTTCCCAAAGTGATGATGTCCGTGAGCAGGTATATGAGTTATCTTTATTGTGCTATTGAATTTCCGCTATCTTTTAGTTTATACCCACAACATTCCTGAATAGGATGGTGTAGCATTTTTAATCTATATTTAAGAAATTCTGTCAGATGGCATGTGGTTCTGACGTTCTATATCTACCCATAATGTTCCTATACCTATAATTAAACTGGATTGTAACAGTTTTTAATTTATATTTAAGTACTTTTCTCAGATCCTGTTAGCTTTGGTTTCTTAATGATATAAACAAGATGTAATCTGTCAGTTATGCAGCTTTTATCTAGTGTGATATATTGGCTTCTGTAGGAGTTTATTCATCACGATGCATAGTTTAACTTTTGTTGGTAATTTGGAGATTGCAAAATCGTTGTGATTTTGCTTGTCGTTTTGGGAATTTGTACTGTTTGTAGTTCTGCTTATATTGCTTGTTGTTTATTTTTTGTAGTTTTGCTTCTATTGTCAATATGCAGTATATTATACTGTGACTTTGTACTCCCGACATAATTTTGGTTTCATATATAGTTTTCCTGACAGTGATACATTGATGTATGTGTGGGCATTTGTGTGATGCTGATGGGTTTTCATTTAAACTTTACATTTGATGCAGTTATCTGATAATGTTTGGTTTTTTAAGAGGCAATAAGGAATGTGATCTTGTTTTGATCTTTTTTCCCCTCTCTCTATTACAAATTGCAGGCGTTATGGGCATTGGGCAATATAGCTGGTGATTCACCAAAATGCCGTGATCTTGTCCTTGCAAATGGGGCACTGAACGCCCTCCTGGCTCAGTTAAATGAGTATTCCAAGCTCTCAATGTTGCGGAATGCAACATGGACTTTGTCCAATTTCTGCAGGTGGAAGCCTCAACCAGCTTTTGCGCAGGTGTTTTGTCTATTTTATGATTTTTTTTTCTATATATGTAGTTTTGAATGTGCTAAAAATGTCCATATAAATGCTCTTGGTTGTATTTTTATGCAGACACGACCAGCTGTTCTGGCCCTTGCATATCTTATTCAATTGAATGATGACGAAGTTCTGACTGATGCATGTTGGGCACTTTCTTACTTGTCTGATGGCACAAATGACAAAATCCAAGCAGTAATTGATGCTGGCATTTGCCCTCGGCTTGTGGAACTGCTTTTGTATGTACTAGTCTCTGTTAAGTTACAATGTTTGGATTTTTCAAGGTATCTCTTATGAGCCCTGATGCTCTTGATGATGGCGTGTAGGTTTCATTCACATGTGGTGCTTATTCCTGCTCTGCGTACTGTGGGTAACTTAGTTACTGGGGATGATGTACAGACGCAGGTATAAAATAAAAGAAACACCACTAATTTTATGCACTGGTTATTGTCTGCTTGATTTAATAGGTGAACGCATGTTTAAGGATCTAGTAATGCTATGGGTCTTGTTTGGGTGGTAGACATATGATGTTTTCACACAGCTATTCTCATCTCAAATGAGTATTTTATTAATTCTAAAGGCACTATCACTTTCGTGTATGCTGATTTGATCTTCTTTTGATGGTAAATGTTCAAGTTCATTTTTTATATGTGGCTAACCAATAAACCGAATATAGAATTAAGTTGTGATGTTTACATCTCTTTGTCTGTTTGCTATTTTGAATTAATAAAAAGCAAATGTTTTCACTATGTGCTTGTTTGTTTAGTCGGTTATTGCTTGCTTAAAAATTTGTGCGTTTAGTGCAGTAGTTTGATCCTTTCTATATGCTGTAGAGAACCAATTGGTATTACGATGTTCTGTTTTTCTTTCCTTCATTGTGTTCTCCTCTAGAATAGAACCACAATTGTATATGGTAAATATTACTTGAAACAATGCATGTTGTGGAGAAAGCACTTAAAGATCACACTTTATGAGGTTTTGTAGAACACGCATGAGCTTTTCACTTATCCGAGAAGATTCTCTTAAACACTTGAACAATGAAATTTCATCATTACATTTCATATAATTAGCTTATATATATCCTTTTAGTTTTATTCCACCAATCTGTCTGCTATGTGATGATATCTTAATATGTTATATGCTCAGCTCATTATCGATCATCAAATACTTCCTTGTCTTCACCAACTTTTAATGAACTCCCACAAGAAAAGCATCAAGAAAGAAGCTTGCTGGACCATTTCAAACATAACAGCTGGAAACAAGGATCAGATACAGGTATACATGAAAAAGATTAGATACTGCTCTTTTGTTGATCGGGATTAGAATTCCGTGGTTTCTTGCATTCCTAAAAATAGAATTGTATTGCATTTATGTTATTTGGGTTGGTGCTGAGCTTTTTTAATCTGGACTCTTACTTCCTTGTGGTTTGGTAAACAGGCTGTGATTGATGCAAATATTGTCGGTCCTCTTGTTCAATTACTGCACACTGCAGAGTTTGATATTAAAAAAGAAGCAGCATGGGCAATCTCAAACGCTACATCGGGTGGTACACATGATCAACTAAAGTATGTATACTAGCATGACTTTTATGTCAATATGTTTTGTCACTGATTTATGTTTAGCTTTAACATATTTTTCTGCTTTACTATGGCTACAGGTTTCTAGTGAGCCAAGGGTGTATTAGACCCTTGTGTGATCTTCTCGCTTGCCCAGATCCAGTAATTGTTAGTGTTTGTCTTGAAGGACTTGAAAACATTCTGAGAGTTGGTGAAGCTGAGAAAAACAAAGGAATCACTGGAGGAGTGAATCCCTATGTTCAGCTTATTGGTGACGCTGAGGGTGTAGATAAGATTGAGAATTTGCAGAGCCATGATAACAATGAAATATATGAGAAGGCTGTGAAGATCCTTGAAACCTATTGGTTGGAGGAAGATGAAGCTGAAATCACGTCCCAAGGGGATGATGCTCGAACTGGATTCAACTTTGGCCACTTGGAGATTCAACTTCCTTCTGGCGGGTTCAACTTTGGTTGAATGGTAAGATGGATTTAGATGATTTAATCGCTCAATTATTAGTTTTTTTGACTACATGCATCATTACTAT